GCCTCCTCCTCCGCCTCCTCCTCCGCCTCCTCCTCCTCCTCCCCCTTCCCTTCCCTTCCCTTCCCTCCCCTCCCCCTCTTCTCCTTCTCCTTCTTCTATTCCTCCTCCTCTTCCTCCTCCTCCTTTGCAGTGCAAAGCTAGCCCTAGCCCAGGAGTGTGGCACAAAGGGGCTTTTTGTTTTATTTTTTTTCATAGCATGAAGCCCAGCCCCAGCCTGGCCCAGCAGCTAGGCTGGGCACACCTCATCAGTGGGAACAAGAAGATAGCAAAAGTCAGCTGGGGTGGCAGAGTGCATGGTGGCAAGGGTCTCAGAGTGCAGGGTGGTGAGGGCAACTGCAGCTGGGACTGGGCTGGGTGGCTATGGCTTCCTGGGGCATGGCACGTAGCCTCTGAGCCATGCATTCTGAGACTGCTTGGCACCCTGCAAGGCTGGGTGCAGGGTGGCCAAATGGGCAGAGATGGGGGGAGATAGGTGTGTGTGGGCAATTGGAGGCAATCCCTTACCTTACTGAGGCTCGGAGCTGGGAAGGACCGAGCCTGGAATGGCTTGGATTGGGGTAAGTAATTGCTTAATGACCCATGATTCTCAGTTAATGATGGCAACTGCAACTGCCAGGATTGCCATTGCTAAACTATCCAGCCATGTGACATCTTGCTTTATAACCACGTTGCTTAGTGATGGAAATTCTGGTCCCAGTTGTGGTCATAGGTCAAGGACTACCTGTATAGCAAAAGCAATTCAAGGTGCTGCTTATCACCTATAAAGCCCTCCATGGCATGGGGCCTGGTTATCTGTGGGACCAACTATTTCAAATTGTTTATGCCTACCCAGTATGGAATATGGTGTATGTATGGTGCCCACTCTCCAGTGATTCTGGAAGGTCCTTCAAACGTGGCTCTGTTCCCAGGCTTGGGATTACTATGTTTGTGAAGCCCCTGACATGTTTTTCTTTTTCTTTTGTTGTTGTTGTTATTTAGTGCAGGTGGTAATGTTTTGTTATTATGTTTTAACTATTTTAATTATATAGTCCAATAATGTAAGCTGCACAGAGTTTTCTGGAGTGGGCAGTCATATCAAATTTAATAAATAATAATAATAAAAGCAGCCCTCAGCACTACTGGGGGAGAGAGAAACACCCCATATACACATTATTTGCCATGAAATACTTAAATATCCTTAAGATACATAGATAAATTAGAGAAAAGTTTGTAGTTTTCATTCATGAACTGATGGAATTCATTCTTTGTTGGACAAAGAAGGAAGCTGTTAAAAACCTAATTCTGTGACCTACAGATCTCACATTTTCATAAGTGTGTCAGTGATTTTTAATTAGAATCTTAGACCCATTTGTTCACTGTGATGGTGTTGTTGACACAATGATGATGATGATGATGATAAAAATTGATGAAAACTAAATTGTGTTTTGAACAGACCCACTTAAATTGCTTTGACTTTGCTAATTTTAAATTTGCTAGTGATTAATTAAGTTGAAATGATTGCAATGAATTTAGGGTTTCTTTTGAATTGTCTGCTTTGCAATTTAATGAAAACTGCACTTCTGAAACCTATATACAGAGTTAGAAATCAAAATTCAAATTTTTCCCACTTTTGAAATGTACCTTAGGAATAAAAAATGTGTATATGCTAGGAAATTGGAATTTGATAGTAACTCTAACCCGTATTTGCTCTTCACTGCATACAAACCCCAGATTCCAGGCTTTCCTAAACCATAAAGAGCAGCTGATGGTCTGTCAAAGTTTTTTTCTGGTTATCTGAGAAAAGCTTTCTTTTTTTGTTATTGCTCATCATTTCATTATGATTTCTAATACAAGAATGGGCAATTGCATTTGTCAGACTTTCTGCACAATCTGTACCCAACTTCCTTTCTATGTGCCTGATCCACGTGGTTTTGGTTTTCATAGACAAGGCAAGAGATGCCTAGTAGAATGTGATTAATGCCCCCTATTAACTGTGCATCCTAAACCTGTACATCCTGTAACCTACTGAATGTTAATATAATGCTGATTTTGTATAATACAATACAAGCCAGTTTTCCTTTTATGACTTGTAGTATTCTGTTAACCACTTCCTCCTTCCTTGATCACATACTGCCATAAATCAGTCTTTACAAATAGCTGTACTGGCATTGAACATTATTTTGTACATGATATTGAACTCAATATTCTCTTCCTGTTTTAAACAGATTAAGACTATGAAGAAAGACTGGCAGTTTGACACAAGGGGGTTGGCTTCAATCTTGCTAGCCCCAAAAAAGAAGTCCTTTGGGTGTGTGACTCAAGCAAGTAGAGTTACTTCTAGAGTACCTGCTTTATGGGCCAGGAATTAAGAAGGGCAGAAGATGGACTAAGTATTCTGGTAGGTTGTTTGCCTGCTCTAGCAATTTCTATGAAATCCCTTGTGTAATTGCTGTACAAAGATATAGTGACCAAAATTTATCATGCATGTGTGGTTATGAAGTTGAATAGTCAGATATAAATCATTTGTTCATATTCTAGAGGGGAAAAATAAAGAACCTGTAGGCATAAAAGCTGACCATTCTAATTTATGGGACTTTGGCTTTGAGGTCAAAATGTTCTAAAGGGATCTCTCTCCCTCTCCCTCTCTCCCCCTCTCTCCCTCCCTCTCTCTCACACATACTGTATGCACACACATACACACACACAAACTAAAACAAACAAGCCAGTGTAAGTGTAGTTTTGTAGCTAAAACATATTCATGTTTATTTGGAAGCAAGCCCTACTGAGCCCTGTTTTGACTAGAATATGACATATTTTGAAACTGAACAAGCAGTTCAAGCAAGTATTATATTTTGCTTCATAGGAAGCCAATCCTTAGTGGTGTGACTGTTCAGCAACTTAAATATAAGGCTGGCAGGAGTAACAATCCAAGGATCATCACAGCTTGGAGTCAACATCCTGTGAGTTTGACACAAAGCTCTAAGATGGACTTTGAAATGATGTTAAGAAATGAGAAATAGAAAACCTCTGCAGTTGATGTTATTTTCTCCTGAATCATCCATTCTGGTGGCAGTGATTTCAGCATCTGCATCTTTATGGATTTCAATGTGATCTCTGGTTTTTGAATTCTTCCTGGAAAACAAACAAGAAAACCATGTCAACAGCAAACTGTTATTCCCCTTCTAATCTGCATCTGCCAATATCATTGAATAATTAGCAAACTAAATGAAATAAGGTTTAGAAATCTTCAGAAGAAAATTGAAAGAGTGTGTGTGTGTGTGTGTGCATGCGTGCATTAGATGGCTTTTATATGAAGCAGATGCTGGCATGGAATGCACATTACCCTGGGTATAGAAATCTATAGAGAATGCTGACGGATTTGGTTGATGGTCTCTTAGACAATCTACCATTTTATGTTGTAATATTATCTCATCCTTCCTCACATTAGTGTCATTGATAATAGGCCTAAAGTTATAAATTAATATTGCTTATATACTGCCAAAGTGGGGAGCACCATAGCCCATGTTTTTATGCAGAAGATTCTGAGGTTGATCCCCAGATGAGAAATTGAGGAGAAATTTCTGTTTGCATGCTGAAAAATTACTGATAATGCAATACCAGTAATGCTGGGCTACATGGACTAAAGGCCTTCATCTAAAGCAGCTCCTTATGCTGCTGTCAGTGCTCCTTGTTCTTCGGTCCCTTCACTAGAGAATCTCATTATGTTGTACAAACATATTAGGAGTGAAAAAAGTGAGTATTTGCACGTGTTTGCATCACCAGTGTATTTACAGCAGCAGTGTGTCTGCACTACCAACCCTGTGAGATAGAACAGGCTTCCATACCTACTTCATCATCTGTTTGGGAGGAAGCCAATGTTACCACCACTTCTTTGATTTTGGTCCATTAATAACCTCATAATACACAAGAATTCAGCTCTAAGGATTATATCTATAAAGAAGCCTAGGCTCCTATTCCTGAGCTTCCCTTTTCTCTTCTTGAGAGCCAGCTAAATGTGTATAATCACCAGTCTGGTTCATGAGTAAGAATACTCCCCAGGCTATGCAAAAGGATAAATTGACTTACATTTCCAAATCAGTACATTTATTAAAAGATCCAGCAAAGAGGAGCCACAAATGTTTAGGAGGTATTTAAATTTAAAACAAAGAACATTGATTCTGCAAACTAAAACCGAACTAACACTTATTATGAGCTATAACTTTTACGGATTTTTGCAGGGCGAGAACCTGATTTTTACTGTTTTTCAGAGGGAACAAGTTCAGTTAATGGGGATTTCTAATGGGTTGGAAATAGCTTACAAGGATGATGTTTGAAATGACCAGTTAATAACTTGGATGATCTGATCTGGTATATTTTAGGTGATTGCTATAGTACCTGTCTAGCACAACACTGGTGAAATCAGCCTGGGATGTGGATTCATGTATATATTGGATATACATTTGTTTAGTAGAATGATTTAGCAAGTGGGATTGCTAAACATAGATTATTCATCTTTATGTATTACGTAGGTATCAAGATGCTGATCCACTGTGAATAGCTACATCTTTAAATGATAATGATCTTACAAGAGCAAAGAAAACAGGGTCCAGATTTTAAATTGGTATTATTCATAATATTCATAAATCATGCAGTGCCATTTATTTATTTATTTAATATGTCACATTTATATAGCCACCCATCTCACACAAGGTGACCCTGGGCGGCATACAACAATTACATAAAATAACAAATAGATAAAAACAATCATTATAAGAGATCAACAAGTGATTATTAAAATACAACATCAAAAAGTTTACAAATTTTAAATTTTAAAATATACAAACCCCACAGAGAAACAGAATATTAACCATAGTGGAACCATCTAAGAATGTTTCTGGTTCCCAAAGACCCCCAGACCTGATGATGCAATCAGGTCTTGAGGGACTTCCTAAATGACAGTAGGGAAGGGGCAAGCCTAACTTCATGGGGGAGAATATTCCACAAGGATGGAGCCATAGCAGAGAAGGCCCACTTCCTGGGATCCACCCCATGCCATGAAGGGCTTTAAAGGTCAAAACCAGCACCTTGAATTGGACCCGGAAGCAAATGGCACCCAATGCAACACGCAAAGCCACCGTATTCTGCACCAGTTGAAGCTTCCAGATACTCTTCAAGGGCAGCCCCATGTAGAGTAGTCTAATCTGGAAGTGACTAGGGCATGAGCGACTGTGAGCAGAGCCTCCCGATCCAGGAATGGCACAATTGGCATACAACACGAAGCTGTGTGAAGGCCCTCCTAGTCACAACTGCCACCTGCTATTCAAGCAGGAGTTGTGAGTCTAGGAGGATCCCCAAATTGCATACCAGGTCTGTCCAGGGCAGTGCCACCCCCATCCAACACCAAAGATGGTATAGTCCCAGAATCAGCAGGACTCTGTACCCAAAGTGACTCAGTCTTGCCAGGGTTCAGTTGAAGCCTGTTGTTCCCCATCCAGACCCTCACACCTCCAGACACTGGGATAAGGCGCCCACAGCATCATTTACTTCACCAAAGGTAGAGATATATAGTTGGTTATCATCAGCATACCACAAGGATGGAGCCATAGCAGAGAAGACCCACTTCCTGGGATCCACCCCATGCCATGAAGGGCTTTAAAGGTCAAAACCAGCACCTTGAATTGGACCCGGAAGCAAATGGCAGCCAATGCAACACGCAAAGCAGAGTTGTAATATGTGCTCTTCTAGGAGCACACATAACTGCCCGTGCCACCGCATTCTCACCACGAGGTGATGGATGAGCTCACCCAGCTGTCTCATGTAGATATTAAATAGGAGGGGGAGAGCACTGAACCCTATGGCACCACACATGGTAGGGGCTGAGGGCGGGACCTCTCCTTCCCAATCATCACTGACTGGAATCAACTCTCAAGAAAGGAGGCAAACCAGTACAGCGCCATGCCACCCACCCCTAGTCCCCTGAGCCAATCCAGAAGGATACCATAGTCGATGGTATCGAAAGCCACCAAGAGGTCAAGTAGGGCAAGGATGGATGCACAACCTTCATCCTGCCCATGCCAGAGATCATCCAGAAGTGTGGCCAATGCTGTTTCTGTCTCATACCCAGGTCTGAATCCAGACTGAAAAGGATCCAGATAATCTGCTTCATCCAAGGCCCTCTGGAGCTGTTGTGCAACCACCTTCTCAGTCACCTTATCAAAAAAGGGAGGTTCGATATTGGACAAAAATTGTCCAGTATGGTGGGATCTAATGGCTTCTTGAGGAGGGGTGCACCACAGCCTCTTTTAGAGGCAATGGAACAATCCCCTCCCTCAAAGAAGAATTAACCACCACTAGAGCCCACTCACACAACACCCCCCAGGACACTTTCACAAGCCAGGAAGGGCATGGATCTAGGGAGCAGGTGGCTGGGTTCACAGCTTGAAGGACCCTGTCCACTTCCTCGGATCCAACAGGTTCAAACTGTTCTCACATAACTGGGTAAGACTCCACCTCAGGTATCTCCTCTGGACCTGCAACAAAACTGGCATCCAACTGTGAGTGAATCTGAGCGATTTTATCTCACAGATGCTGAGCAAGTTCATCTGCATGCCCCTGCAAAAGGTGCTCTGGGCTCCCTTTACCCAAGAGGGCCTGTGTCACCCGAAACAGGGCTGCAGGTTGGCAATCTGTGGATGCAATAAGGGTGAAGTACTGTCACTTCGCCGCTCTTACCGCCACAAGGTAGACCTTAATAGCAGCTCTAACCCATGTCCAATCGAGCTTGTACTCGGTTGAGCGCCAATGACACTCTAGATGTCTCTTCTCTCATTTCATCTCCCTCAGCTCCTCCATAAACCATGGGGAGGGACAGAATCTATGGGAGGGAGAAGTTGCATGTGTACAGTCCAAACCAGGACCTCAGCCTCCACCTTATTCCAAGTGGCAACCAAGGCTTTGGATGGATCATGCAGCAGACCAGCAGAAGGAACCCCCAGCTGTCTCTGAAACCCATCTGGGTCCATTAATTGCCAGGGGCAGATCAATCTAATAGGTCCAGCCTCCCTGCAGTGGGTAGTGGCACTAGAGAATCCCATGGACATTGGCATGATCTGACATGACAAGGGAGACACCAAAAGCTCCCCCAATTTCAGATCACATAGCCACTGCTCCGACAGGAACACCAAATCTGGAGTGTGACCACTGTCCCATGTTGGGCTCTGGATGACCTGGGATAGGCCTGTGGCAGGTAGGCCCCTCCCATTCATCCTCCATCAATTCCTCTTCTGGCTCTCACCCAGAAGGAATCAACATACTTACACAGACACTCACATATCCAAGCATTCACAGGACCCTTCCCTTGCTGCTTCCACCAGCTAAAAAAGGGTTCCCTTCATATTCACCCCAACCAATTTCTCCTCTGGTTCACCCAGACAAAGAAGGCGGTCCTCAGTTCAAAATGAGACACCTGCAGTCAAAGTGGGAAACCACAGTCCAGCACCCAGACAGTTAGTTGTCAGATGGAAGCTGAGCCTTTCTTCCAGCTAAGGCTACCAGAGGGAAGCAAAAGACCTATGCGGCGGCGGAGGGGGGGATTGACAGCAACCTGGCAAACCCCCACCCACCCAGCTACCACTCATGCCTCCAACCTTTGGTATCCAGCACAGAGCAGATGATGCAGAAAGGGAGAAACACAGCAACAGAAGAGCAGGAGCAGCCCGT